TATGGGGGTCTGGAATGAATTATTTGTTTTTTAATTCTTTTTAATGGGGAAAATTATATCCAGATGCGAGTGGATCGAGACGAGTCCTGTTATAGAACGGATTCGATTCGTATCTTGAGGGTCCACTGTACAAGTGACATAAGTTGAGAATTCTGTGTTACATTACAATAAAACATGTATACAAGCCACTAAAGAACACTTAATAAATGACTGACTAAATGAAACTTAAACCAACAGCACTGTATTAAGTCTGAACTACGTTCAGTCACACCATAAAACATTATAAAGCACAACTGGTATAAGGTGCCAAATTCTGAACTGCATAAGAAAGAAAAATCAAACCAAAATCAGGACGGCAAAAATGTTTCTTATAAAGGGAATGTGCTCTCTACCTTTTTTTTCTTCTATAGCAAATGTAAAGAATCATACCAATTGTCAAATTGAGTGTAAATTCTTAAAAGTCTGCAAAGTTTACATGCCTATTACAACTGTCATTTTCATGTGCTATCGCTGTCCATCCAAAGCTCATAGTCTAGGCTACAACAACCAGGAGCTAGTCTACTGTATAATACGTGAATAAGATGACTTCATTAGTGACCAACTGCGATTAAAATCGTGCACTTGTATTATGTCTGACTGTGCTCTGGTATTGCTCTAAAAGGTTAGCTATCAGGAAGGATGCTAAGCTAAACGAAAATGATCAATATCATGAATGCACATTTTGCTTAATGGAGGAAAAAGTAAAAGTAAAGTAAAAATCTGCGAGTGCACGCAACTTTATTATAGATAGATACAGTTCATAGATAGATAGATAGATAGGTAGATAGATACATACATACATACATACATACATACATACATTTAACATACATACATACATATATACATACATACATACATGCATACATACATACACATACATACATACATACATACATACATACATACATACATACATACATACATACATATATACATACATACATACATTTAACATACATTTAACAATACATACATACATACATACATACATACATACATACATACATACATACATACATACATACATACATACATACATACATACATACATACATACATACATACATACATACATACATACATACATACATACATACATACATACATACACAAAGACATATAACCTCTCCAGGGCTAGAGAAGCTGCTACAGCTGCAAGGATTTTATGAACTCGAAGAGGAGCTCTTCATATATCGTTTAACGTGCCTTTCTATCGGGCATCAACCTTTCGTTTACACATTGCATTTATTGCACTGATATTTTGGAATAGTTCAGCTCTACCTTTACATGCCCTGGTGGACTAATAAACTAAGACAGCTATAGCAGCAATATCTTAATACGCACTTTACTGAGAGCCCTAGTCTAGTTTTCAATAAATCCTTGCTATTTTTACTTCTTTTGTCTTGGGCGCTTTCTTGTGTACGAACGGATATTGTACACAGGGGCTATTGTGGGAAACTCACATTTAGCATTTAGCTGATGATTAAAGGCCTGGCCAGTTGTAGCAGGGCTAGGTCCGCCACAATTGGGGCAGTGTGGTCAAAAAGGCGTCAAGTTTCATTATATTCAAACTTTCACTCAATATGTTCGAGGGTGTGCGTGTATGTATATATATAAATATACACACACAACATGAGGCTTGAATCTAACAATGTTATCTAATGGCAGGCAAGAAGCATAGATTTTATACTACTGAAATGACTTTATGGGCTGGATCCAGCTTCCGGGCGTTGACACAAAACATTGCAACAAAACTTTAAATACAATACAGCCTACTCTTCTAATACTTTATTGTGGAATTTTTAATTATCAGGAAAAGGACACGGACAGCAAGTTATATGCATTTTAAATGAATTGGTTTTCTCAATAATATATATATTTGTATCCATATGGATTTTCAGCCACCATCATCTTGAATGAGCTGAACTGGACGGAAGCTCTGGAGGATGTGTTTAGAAAGAACAGAGAAGAAGACCCAACCCTTCTGTGGCAGATTTTTGGTAGTGCAACTGGTCTGGCTCGCTACTACCCAGGTAGAGACCCCAATTTTTTAATCTTTTGTGTAATTTTTGTGCTGAGATAGTGAGAGTTTCTACGGATTTGACGCATGCTCCCTTACATATTTGTGGACACTTTGGTAATTACATCATGGTAATATTTAATGAGTTCTTAAGCAAATGTATAACTTGGACAGATGGGGTCGCGGTGCAGAATGCTAGGTCTGATTTTCTAATTTTCTTTATATGGTTTCTTAGTTTTATAGAGATATCTTGCATTTCCCAGTAGCAGTAACTACAAAATTGGACGCGTATGGAGAAATGTTAAGCACTGAAATGAAAAACTTATTTCAAACTTTTATTTTTAATTGATCGACTGAGATCAGATAACAACGCAAGGCAAGTTTACCCTAACCTTTGACAGGTAAATTGAGTTACTACAGCTACATATTTTAAAAAAGACTTGTTTGAAATAAGATCTTTGTACAGATGAGTGGTAGAAATGCTTTTTTTTTTTTTTTGTCTTTCACAAAAGTCCTGCACTAAATTTTCCTTTTACCCTAATTGAATTCCTAATAAGAATTAATTTTATGTATTAGAATTTGTTTTAATATTTTTATTATTTTATTACATTATTTAGTTGTAAATTGTTCTTGTCAACATAAGTAAATCCAAATGCTATTTAAGTCAGATGACATTCCATAAAAAAAGGTTTCTTTTACATCCAACATTTGGATTTCAAATTTCTTTTTCGCAAAACTTACCCTTTGAACAAGTGGCTCTTCCTGCTAAAGATATATAAATATGATTATGATACCACTGAAGTGATTCTTAATACTGATCCTTAAATCAGGCAGCTTTTTATCTCCATATTATTGTTATAGTCCTTTTTTTTTTTAATCTCACAATTGATTTGTTCCTATAGCTTCACCCTGGATGGATGCACGCAAGACTCCAAGTAAAATAGACCTTTATGATGTCCGCAGGCGGCCATGGTAAGGGCACTGGCCACATACACTTGATAAAATAAAATGTAGGCTAAACTGCGCCTACTTAAAATGTATCACTTTTTATATACTTTCTATTAATGCACAAATATGGGATGACATACGAGCTTACATTTGAAGTAATTCTGTGTAGTACAATATAAGTACCTTTTAGGTCTGTAAATCAAATGTTACTTTTGTGTAATTCCTTATATGAATTTATATATGTATATGTATTCATACATAGTGTATATCTGATATATACTGTATGTGTGTGTGTACCATATTTTCCGGATTATAAGTTACTTTTTCCATCCTTTGGCTGGGTTTGCAACTTATACTCAGGTGCAACTTATATATTAAAATTGCACATGTTTGTTATTTTTACACAGCCACAAGAGGGCACTCTAGCCTTGTGTACCAGTATCTGCTACTCCTGTGAGTTGTACTTTGTTTTTCATCCTTTGGCTGGTGCGACTTATATTCTGGATTGACTTATAGTCCGGTAAATACGGTATATATATTTGATCTGTATACTGTATACTGAATATATATACAAAAAGTCTGAATATATATACAGAAAGTCTGAATATATATACAAAAAGTCTAAATATATGTACAAGAGGTCTGAATATATATATACAGAAAGTATGAATATATATGTATGTATATATATATATATATGTATATATATATATATATATATA